TTAGTCGTCAAAATAGAATGATTCCACGAAAAGATATTTTGCATGATGTAACGCCTATACGTACAGGCCACCCTGTACATATTGAAACTCTGGAGACGCCTTTAACGTTGTCTAGCAACCCTCAAAAGCACTCCTTGGCAAAACTGATTTCATATCGATTTAATGTGTTGTCCATATAAGAACAGAGCAAGCCCGGTCGCACAAAATGAATTAGTGAACGCGATAAAATTGTTCTAAGCTTTTCTACGTGTCAAATGGAGCATTAGTAGATGCTGTTATACATCCTCACAGACTTCAATCATAGTTGTGGCAAGTACATTTACCACAACTATATTGAAGTCTAGAGAACCTGTAATAAATTATATCCTAGCTATCGGTGCATTTTTTCGACCGAAAAAATGCTCATGACTTTTTTCTTAAAACGCTCTGCGGTTAAGGAAAGACGATTTGGAATCAACGTCCCAAGCTCTAACTATCAGCGCGCACTTGGGAGTGATCGGCTACGTCTTTGCAACTTTCCCTTGTTGGAGTAATTTTGAAATTTTTGGCAGCAAGCCAGAGTTTCTTTTCAAAATCTCTAATTTCTGGCTAACAAAGTTGACATTTTTTGGCAGGTGCCAGAAAGGTTCGCTAGGGAGTGGTTCGCCATGTTGCTGTATCCTGAAGTTCTCGTGATTATAGCGGCGCGCATGGTTACAATATCGGCTGTCAGGGGACGGATTTAACCATTTCCCTCCCCTTCCCCTACCCCAAACCTGCCTTCCGTATCTGCGGAGCTGCAACACAACCATGCGTGTTGACTAGTGTATTAATTAGTGCGACAGGTCCGCCGTGGCCTTGCAATATGCCCTCATGTCTTATTTCCTTTCTGTGTTCCTCTTGCATTTCAAAAAAAAAACTCGTATGTGCTTGATTATCACACAAACACAATTACATCTCTCTACATTCACAATGACCAGTTCAGTGATCTTAGTATACGCAACATTTTGAGAAAAAAGTAGAAAGCCAACAAAAATCAAATTTTCGCCAACATATGGTGAATATGAAGAGATGCAATAAGGTTGGCCATGCGCACTGCGGAAAACACCTAGTCTTTTTTATTGCACAAAGTTTTGACCGTTTATTTCCGCTATATGAGTGAGACGTTGAAGGCAGTGTCCCTTCCGATCTGAGGTGTCGGAAAAATAGCCGCAGCCAGACCCACCTGTAGGTGGCCGATTCGCATTGGACCCTGTCCGGTGTCCACAGAGAAAACGCCTCCCTCGGCGTGCGAGCCTCCATTCAGCGCGCGCTGTACGAATTTGTGATCCAGTTCTGCGCGGGACCCACATTCGGCTCTCCGCAATCCCTCGGCTATTCAGTGCCACAATTACTGGCGGCAAGGTCTTCGCACCGGGACCATTGTACTGTGAAGCTAAACTCTCGTCCTAGCCCTCTTTTTGAAAGTGCGAAAATGCTTGGACATAGGTCCTTTTACGCGTTCGGAAGCCCGTATTCGGGCAGAGCATGAAGAAAAGACTGGATAACGCAAAAAAATAAGATTTTACGATTTGCCGAGACTTCGCCTTTGAGTGATGAACTTTTTCAAAGGAAAGTGAGCTTGAGAGAGAGAAGTGTATGTCAGCGATACCCAATGCTCATGCAAGCTTTTTGCAAAACTGCAAAACGAAAAGCACGGAAGGAAAAATATTCAAAGAGCATCTGGTTCGAGGCCGTCGCACCAATTAGTAGGCGACACACCCAAAAGTATGTGTGCTCTTAATTGTACTGTACGACTGACTGACTGACTTTAGCCCCAAAAACGTTCTCTCCGTCCCGAAGAGCTCTCACAGATGCGGAAGGCATTAGTTTAAGACTACTTGTTGAAGGGCTAACCAGTAGGTTCCTTTGGTTGTTACACGAACCTCCAGACTCCATAGCTCAAGGTATGAAGCTTAGTTTCAGTTGCGCTCCCTCCGAACTGGGATATTCACGTGATTGGCTCAGCCACGTGCTGGAAAACGATTTGATAGAAGCACGAGAAAATTAGATATCCGTTTCAGGCGCAGGTCCATGGCATCAAGTTGATGTCCTTTGAAGAGGTTCTCTACGCAGGCACAGAACAACCTAAACCAAAGCATTTACCAAACAAGGATAACATTTATATAATCTGGTACGCTTATTCATGTAGCACCAAAATCCACTGTGCTCCTTTACAGCTACACCTCAGGAACCACTGGAAGACCGAAAGGAGTTATTTTGACACATAAAAATGTTATGGCCAATGTCAGCGCTTTTGCATATATGGCCCTAACGATTGAGCCAAGACTGCTT